GTCACATTGGAGTGGTAAGTTAGCACGTAGCATCCTCCATCTACTACAACTGATCTGTTAGCACGTAGCATCCTCCATCTACATCAACTGATCTGTTAGCACGTAGCATCCTCCATCTACATCAACTGATCTGTTAGCACGTAGCATCCTCCATCTACATCTCGTCTGTGTGTAGGTGCAACATGCGTTGAAGAAGTCTGATGCGGCTTTAGAGACTCTGAACAGAGCGATTGGGATCGACCCCAAAAACCCGCTTTGCAAGTTCCACCGAGCGTCCATACTGTTCGCCAACGACAAATATAAGGTAATCAATACTGATCAGTAAGAATCAATACAGTCATGGTACTGTGAATAACCATTAATCAGCCATTAATCAGAGGCTGAAACTGAGTAACACAAATTGTCTTTCTCTGACCTGTCTGTCTGTGCTTCTCTGACCTGTCTGTCTGTCTCTGACCTGTCTGTCTGTGACCTGCTGCAGGCGGCTCTCCAGGAGCTGGAGGAGCTGAAACAGATTGTTCCCAAAGAGTCTCTGGTTTACTTCCTCATAGGAAAGGTAACCTTAACCGACCTTTGACCTCTGACACTGACCTCACCATGGAAGTAGCTGTCTGTCTGACTGCCTGTCTGTCTCATCAGGTGTATAAGAAGCTGGGTCAGACTCATCTGGCTCTGATGAACTTCAGCTGGGCAATGGATCTGGATCCTAAAGGAGCAAACAACCAGATCAAAGAAGCCATCGACAAGAGATACCTGCCAGAGGACGAAGGTGAGACAGCTTCACAGAGTGAGACGGGTTCACAGAGTGAACTGAAAGTACCTGGAGTCTGTTCTCGCTGAACTGTGATTGGTCAGGCTGTTTGTGATGTCAGAGGTTGTTGAGGATGAAGGCTGTTTGTTAAATACTGTCTGTCTCTCTACCTGTCTCAGCGGCTGAGGTGGACGACAGTCAGGACAGCAGTATCATGACGGACGCCGATGACACGCAGCTCCACACAGCTGAGAGTGATGACGTCCTTTAACCCCGCCCCTTCAATGAACCCCGCCCCCTGTTCGAGTCAAGCCCAGCCCCCTGTTCTGATTGGCAGGAGGAGTACTGTTGCTAGGCAACATTCTGACAGACAGCTCTTCAGTTTAGCGCCGCCCTTGGCCCTCTTCCCCGTCCTCTGATTGGCTGAAACAGACTGCTGCTGCTCTGACGCCCCGCCACCTGACCCTCCTCTTCCTTGTATGTCATCGAGCTTATCCTCTGACATCACAGCTGTTTTTTATGTTCTTTTTATCATCGTTATGAAAATAAACCAATAAAAATATGTAAACTCCGCCCACTGCTGTCTGTCTACTTCCTGTTAGCAACAACCAATCAGAGCAGCTCTGCACTGATTGGACCAGCAGAGTCGTTGCTCTCAGTTTGCTAAAGACGCACCATCTGAACATCGCCGAGAACGTCGCAGAGAGCTGATTGGTTTAGTTGTCCATAACACTTTTACTCTGAAAGGATTAGATTCTGTTTCCTTCCTGAACAGCAGTAAGTGATGTCAACATCACACAACACAATGTTTTAAAGAGTTCGGTCTAGACCTGCTCTATTTGAAAAGTGTCCTGAGATAACTTCTGTTATGAATTGGCGCTATACAAATAAAATTGAATTGAATTGAATAGGCTGCGTTTCATTAGTCGTTAAACACGCCCTCGGGGGAATCCCCGCCGCCATCATAAGTGTCGTTCCAATTGAAAACCTGAAGTGAACTTGGTGAGATGGACCCTCGGAGGGCTGAGGGAGCGAGTGAACGACGAGTGTCACTCCGAGGTGGATATCACCCACAATGCATTGCAGTTTACATCATTGCCGCTATAACGCCGGCGGCTGCCAATGAGTAGACTCCAAGGTGCGTTTCATTTAAATCCCCCGCTCCCTCCGCGCTCCACCGTGTGACGTATGCTGTTACGTCATACCAAGGGCTGAGGGGAAGTGAACGAGTGGAAGTGGAACCACTAATGAAACACAGCCATGATCTGAACCACAGAAAGTAGGTAGACGTAATGAGTTAATGAGACAGACAGACAGCTGCTTATTATTATGGTATGCAGTCACATAGAGAACGTATGTGAAGGTAGGCGTTATTATGGTATGGACTATCTGTAGTGGGACGGAATATATAATATACTGTATTATACACACAGTAAATATATAATATACTGTATTAAACACATAGTAAATATATAATATACTATATTATACACACAGTAAATATATAATATACTATATTATACACACAGTAAATATATAATATACTATATTATACACATAGTAAATATATAATATACTATATTATACACACAGTAAATATATAATATACTGTATTATATATATATATATATATATATATACGTTAGCTTAAATGAATCCACCCCCCCATTCATATTAATACTCACATTCCTCGAGGCACTGGCCGAGGAGGTGGAGTAGCAGCCATATATGATTCAAGCGTTTTAATGGACCCTAAACCTAAACTAAATTATAATTCATTTGAAAGCCTTGTTCTTAGTCTGGAAAACACTGCAGCCAGTTCTATTTGTTCCTGGACCGTACTCTGATTTTATATCTGAATTCTCTGAGTTTTTATCAAGTTCAGTCCTTAAATCAGATAAAGTAATTATTGCAGGTGATTTTAATATTCAATCACACTCTTGACCTTGTTCTATCGTATGGCATTGATATTGAACATTTAATATTGTCTTCCCACAAAATCCTTTCCTATCTGACCATTATTTAATAACTTTTGATATTGCCTTTCTAGTCTTCCGACCACTCAAAGCGCTTTTACCACATTCGCCCTTTCACACAGCAATGGCAAAGCCCATTGAACAGAAACTTATCATTCATACATACACATTCATGCACAGCATCGGGAGCAATTTGGGGTTCAGTATCTTGCTCAAGGATACTTTGAAATGTGACAGGAGGAGCCGGGGATCGAACCACCAACCTTCTGATTAGGGGACGACCTGCTCTACTTCTGAGCCACAGCCACCGAATAGTCCATTGAGTTTAAAGAAAAGCAAAATACTCACATCACCGCTGATTTGACATGTTTACCTTGACTACGACAGAGGAGGCAGAACGACCTCGCCGCCAAAAAGAGAGGTTAAAAAAAAGAAAAAAAAAAGGAAAGCATCTCTTTCTCGAAAACCTCACACAGCAGACCCGAGAAGAATTCCGTAGGTTGCCCTCCTTCAGTAGACTCAGCCAGGCCAAGGATGCATAGGTTTTGCCGTCTGTTGCGACCTTCCAGGTCCAAGTCGTTACATTGGAGTTGCTTTCACAGAGGCTGGAGCATGCATTTTCTAGCTCACTGACACGCTGGCTCAGGTCCTCTGAAACAAGCTCGAGAGAACTCAGACGTTGGCCATGGTCTTCCAAGGTGGCCCGGACTTGGTCGAATTTTGTTTCAAGTAAGCTAAAAGAGGTCCTGAAGTCTGTTGCTAATGCCGAGCAGTGCTGGTCTAGTAGCGCAGAGATAGCCTCCATCGTTAAGCTAGTCGGCAAGTTGTCCTTTTTTTCATATCTGCCACTCTTTGAAGCCATTTTAAGACAGGTGTGCGTGAAATAAAATAAGTGCACAAATTTGAAACGAGGAGCATGTGCATCTTGCGTCTACTCAATGCAGCTGCCACAGGTACTCCTTTTAACTCTGTTTAACTGTACTGTTTTTTGCCTTAGCTGTATGCATGTTTTACTTGATGTGTTGACTGTTGCTGCCTGTTGGCCAGGTCGTCATTGTGAATTAAAATTGGTTCTCAGTTGACTTATCTTGTTAAATGAAGAAAAAATAAATCAAATAAAACCTTCATCCTGTCCACGGCTTCATTTTAGACAGAAAATAATTTATCTGTGTGAATGTAAACAATGTAATTCAGCGTTTGTCCAGCAGAGGGCGACAGCTGCATTCAGACTAAATAAAGTCTCTGCTGATGAAGACACAAAACAACTCTGATGAATCCGTTAAAAAGAAAAATTATAAATTAAAAATCAACTATTATTAATTATTGAATCTGATGACCATCAAACTTGTTCACAGATGTTTCACTAATTTCAAATAGATTTTACATATAAAAACTAATAAAACTACTTCATAGGTTTTCTTTCTGTGCTGTGTTCAGAATCAGAAATTCTTTATTGATCCCCAGGGGGAAATTTATTTAACTGACAGTGGTACCGTTTTTAACCCGGTGAGTTTAACTGTCCTTTTCTTTCAGATTATTTTTTTTATTTAAAAAAATGTGTGTATTCATCTTGTCCTGCTGTCAGTATTTAAGAAACACATATTATTCCCAGAGAAGATTTCAGTGGAGTTTCTGTTAATAATTTCTCTGTGTGTTTGCAGCTGCAGGAGTTTTATTTTATAGAACAGAGACCTGATTTCAGTTGACAGAACAAACTGAGAACTCATTCAGAGTCAAAATGTTCTTCAGCTGAGATTTCCTCTGAATCACTGACGACTGAAACAAGATACTCAGTCTGTGTGTGTGTGTGTGTGTGTGTGTGTGTGTGTGTGTGGTGTGTAATCCTGAGTAATGTCAGTTCTATTGGCAGCTGTTGCTCTTCTTGTCTTTCTCTTTGAACTTTGGCCATTTAGACCGGACAACAGCTGCTGCTGCCTCTGAGCCAGGAAGTGGAACCAACCAAGACACAGCCCAATTATTAAGAATCATTAGAAACTATTCTGCATATTTAGTCCAGTGAACATAATTGTAAAATACTGCTCACATGCTGGTCAGAAAGGCAAATCAAAATCTCAATGTAAATGAAAAAGATTTAGCACTTCTGAGTCAGTAGGAGAAAGAGAGTCCACATCATGAAACCCAAAGTTAGGTACAGAATCAACAGAACTCTGATGTGTTTGGAAACAAATATCATCCCATAAAATGGTGTGCAGGTATAATGGTGTGCAGATGTTACTATCAGGTGAGCTTGAAGAATGAAAGTGGAAACGCTCTCTGTTTAAAACTTTAATCAGTTAATCATCACTGAAGGTCACAAGATATTCATCAAACATTTCAAAATTGACCAGTCAGCAAGCTGATGACTCTGACAGTCATGGGCCGATCACATTGAGAGAATTCTTAAAGAACCAAAATATGAAAAAGCGACAACTGATGATTACTGCAAAGATTAATATTATAATCACACTGATATACCATACGCCATACAAAAATACATGAAATAAGAAAGAAAGAAAGAAAGAGAAAGGAGGATCCGCTCAGTGAAGAAGAGGGAGCTAAAGACAAAATCAGTCATTAATGATCAATTTTTATTAATTAACCACTTCTCTTAAAGTCCATCCTTGGACATTTCTCATCTGCCTGTTTTATAATCAAAACACTGCTCTTTTTAACATAGTTTTTGTCAATTCAAGTTATATTTGTTGCATTGTCCTTAGTTCCCCTGTGGAGATAATGTTATCGTTTAGCTGTTGTAGCTTTGATCAGTTCAGGTTCAGGTTCAAACTGGACCTTTAACTTTTCCCAAGTTTGATGATGGATGGGCTGTTAACTAACTGGTCCACATATGTAATTGTCTGACTGATGTTTACTAGCTGTAGATTCACATAAAGAGCTCAGTCAGCTGTAAAAAAACAACCTGCAGAATCAAAGAATACCACAAATGGAGACGGATTATTAAAACGTCTATGTGTAACTTTCATTAAACTGTTGTTAACAGTAACACTAGTGGCCCTTCTGCAGTATAAAGTTAGTCAGGAAGCAAGCTAATATGAGCCAACTCAAAGTATTTTGATAGCAAAAACGTGAGTGAGCAAGCAGGCTAAGGTTAACCAACAAGTGCAACAAAGCCACGCTGAATAACTGGTACCAGCCGACAAAGTAACCTGCAAATGACAACCAGCCAAATCAGCCCTGGGAGTTTTGATGAAGCTAGCTAATGGTAATTTGCTTCATTAGCCTATGTTAGAAAGAAACCTAATGTTATCCAGCTGTAAGCCAATCAGACAATATGTCCCACAAGCTTTTCAGTAATGATAGCTTTGACTTTGGACTTTGTGTTGGACTCTGTGTTGTGGTGGGTGTCGGTCATTTGTAGACGTTAGCGGACTCCATTTATAAGCTAACATTAGTTAGTGTGGCACACTGTTGACACTGTAGGGAAGCGGAGAGAGAAGGCACTTGGGAGCATAAAGGTCACAACCTTTGACCCTCATCCCTACATAGAAACACAGAAATCAGTTCACAGGCAGCAGAGGAACAAAGCTACGCTACAACCTGTTCACTCACTGCTCACAGACACTGATTCAGATGGAAAAATAATTTTTAGTTAAGTTAGTTTCATATATTCTAGTAGATATTGAGATCAATACTGGGACATATCATGACCAGTGTACTAACAACATGGTAAAAACAAGATTTTTTTTTTTCTTTCAGCTCTGGTGGCAGTCTTTGTCTCTAGTTTGATTTTCCCTCCAATATTGTTGAATATTCCTGAACTCTATTTAAGTCTCCTTAACTAATGTAACCAGGTCTGATCTGTTTAAATGCTGCCCTCTAAGTGGCTGCCTACTCGGTCAGTAACCACTGACAAGTAACAGGTTTGAACCCAGATCCATGACCAAGAGACAAGAAAAGTAAAAGTTTCTTGTGGTCAGAAAACAGGTCAGAACCATGCAGGCAAAAGGAAACCAGATCATACAACAACCTGCAAAGAGTGAATGGGAATGGGATGATGGAGAAAGTAGGAACAGGTGTGCAGGTAGGTGGGGAAGGTTAGGTAATGGGACTGGTAGGGAAAAGGTGTTACTGCAGATTAGGAGGTCATAAAGTCATCTAGTGAGAGTTATTTATTTAGTTACAGATTTGACCACCAATACAGCCACGTGATTGGCTATCTCCATCAAAACACAGTTCTTTTCTGACTATAAAGAACACTGTGGAGCAGTCAAAGCTAAGAAACACCTGGGAACAGGAAGGTATCACCTTGTCTGGGACTGATAGTTTACAGACAAGTCACAGATTGCTGCTAACAGAGTTACTGATAATGTGGATAAAGTTAATCAGCGTTAGAAGGGAACTGTTAGAAGATTAAAAACCTCAGCACAAGACATTTTCAAGTGCAAAGCCACAGGAAGAACCGAATCAACTGACACAGTTTAAGCGTCATCGATGGTCGAAGATCTGCAGTGTTCACTGTGACCTTGTCTCTGCTGTGACTTGACGCTCTGCGGAGTCTCCACAGATGCTGTAGCTGCTCCTCCAACAAGAAACACCAGAGGTGAGTTTGCACAGTACAGAGGAAAAACAGGAAAAAACTACAGAAACATCCTCAGACAATAGACTCCCTCAGATTCTCGTGTCGCAGGAAGTCAGGGGCATTGAGAGGAGGAGCAGCGTGGAGGAGAAACTCGCTCTGAAGCTCCACACGGGCGGGGGGATCCTCACTTGAGATGGGCTCCTCTGTCTCCGCTATGTTTCCATACAGCTGACTGAGTCGTTCACAGAGAAGTCCCTCTGTCTCTGGCGGAGCCTTCTGGTCTCGCCGTCCCTCCACCTTCTCTCTGTATTTGTAGGACGCCAGTTTGACTGTCCGCTGCAGGAGGTGTTTCCTATACACTCTTTGGATCACTGTCGCCGCCACTTCTTCCTGTTTTCTTCGTAGAGTGCTACTGATTGGTTCATATGACACCTGTAGGTAACAATAATTACAGTCTAATCAGTTATAAACAATATCAATGAATGACCAATGCACCATCTGCAAGAGACAAGTCATTTAAAACATTTCAACAAATAAAGTCAACGTAGAAAATATTTTTCACATTTTGACCTGTTTTCATCATGAACCACTGAAGGTCCAATCTTCTTTCCAAATACAATCATGCCTGAAGATCTAAAACTTAAATATCAGCTCTACCACCATCTGTCATTCCCATTAGACTACATATTGAAAAATGAACCGTTCACAGTATTGTATTGAATTGTATGAATACTGTATGAATGTGGAAAATAACACTGAGATTAAATAGGAATAAAGATGAAGAGTGTGGGTCAAGATAATGGGTAAAACAAAACAATAGAATAGAATTCTGCTTTCTCATCTCGCAGGTTCTTATCGATCCTGGTGGAGCCTCCTGCCATGGTCCTGCTAGATTGCCATTGCCAATACTGTTGTTGCTGTGTGTGTCTCTCTGTCTCTCTGTCTCTCTCTCTCTCTCTCTCTCTCACCCTAACTGGTCGAGACAGACGACCACCCACCTAGAGCCGAAGGATCTGTCCTAGGTTTCTGCCTTTTAACAGGCATTTTTTCCTTGCCCTCGTTGCCAAGTGCTTGCTCATGGTGGTACTGTTGGGTCTCTGTAAATAATGTTATAAAGAGTTCGGTCTAGACCTGCTCTATTTGAAAAGTGTCCTGAGATAACTTCTGTTATGAATTGGCGCTATACAAATAAAATTGAATTGAATTGAATTGAATTGAATAAAATAGAATAGAACCTTGGAGGGGTTGTTGGCCATGAACTTCTCCTCCATACTGGCTTTGAGAGTGTCCATCTCTCCTGAATCACCCAAAACCTGCAGACATGTAATACAATATAATATAATATAATATCAGCAGTGGACGGGGGACAGGGTTTTGTTGGATCTGGGTATAGGGGTCATGGTACCTGTGCAGTGAGTGCAAGCAGGATGTCCAGACAGTGGATCTTGTCTCCAGGAACCAGAGGCAGATCCATGTGGATCAGTTTGATGGTGTTTGGTTTGGGAATCCTCAAAGGATCCTTCAGAGTGTCGCAGAAATCTGATAGCTTACTGTGGAACACATCAGAGTCAGATCAGGATCAGAAAATTCCCAGATGAAGACCCAGCTTGCAGAAAGAGGACTCACCTGTACTGTATAAACTGTGACGCGTCAGGGTCAAACTTCTCCCAGGTTTCATAAAACATTTCAAAGTCGTCCTCACACAGAGGGTCAGAGCTCTCTTCTGTGGCTACATTGAAGTTCTCCAGGATGATAGCAATGTACATGTTGACCACCACCAGAAAGGACATGATGATGTAGGTGGTGAAGAAGACGATGCCCATTGCTGGATTACCACAGTTCCCTCTGACCGTTGTTCCCGGGTTATCTATGGCGGGGTCGCAGTCCGGTGGTGTGTTCATGATGGGACTCAGCAGACCGTCCCATCCAGCTGACGTGGTAATCATAAACAAACAAATCATGCTGTTTCCAAACGTCTCAAAGTTAAACATGTCATCGATAATGGCTTCCCTTCTTCACGTAGGCAAAGTTGGACATGCCAAAGATAGAGAAGATGAACATGATGAGGAAGAGGAGGAGGCCAATGTTGAAGAGAGCAGGAAGTGACATCATCAGGGCAAACAGTAGTGTCCGGATCCCCTTGGCTCCACGAATGAGGCGAAGGACTCGGCCGATTCGAGCCAGTCTGATTACTCGGAAAAGCGTGGGTGAAACAAAATACTTTTCTATGATATCAGCAAGGAGGAGACCTGAGGGGAAGAAAGAATGACAAGAATGAATGACAATACGATGACATCACCAGATGAGACAATGACATCACCAGACACTCTCCCGACTCACCTACAATGGACAGGATGACGACCACAAAGTCGAAGATGTTCCAGCCTACGGAAAAATAATGCTGCCGGAGCGCGATGACCTTAAGATGAGATAAAATGAGATATACCTTTATTAATCCCCCGTAGGAAAAATTCAAGTTACACACAGCAACATTGGGGAATATAATGCAAAAAAAGTACAGTGTACGAGTAAAATCTTATCACAGATAAGAATATTACAAAATATAATAGAAATATAAAAAACTATAAGTGTATATAAAACTATAACTGAACCTTCAGAGAGCACTCCATGGTGAAGATGATGATGAAAACGAGGTTGACCCAGTACAGGATCATTTCTTTTTCCGCACTCTGCTCGTCCGTCTCTACCATCATGGTCACCATGTTGAGGCAGATCAACACCATGATGAAAATGTCGAAGAACTGTTGGGTCACCAGGTCAAAGACCAAACCCTGGAACTTATTCTTGAGAAGAAACACGAGTTTAGCCCAGAAAGAAGGACTGGAAACTGCTTTAAACTGATGTTTTAATTCTGGTCTCATCTGAACACCTGTATCTACTGTCTTCTATTCAATTTCAATTCAATTCAATTCAATTTTATTTGCATAGCGCCAATTCATAACAGAAGTTATCTCAGGACACTTTTCAAATAGAGCAGGTCTAGACCGAACTCTTTAAAAAGAGTTACTGGTTTACTGGTTTAAATAAAGTCATACAGGAAGTAACTGAACTGACCTCAGGTCGAGGAACAGGTTTCTGAGGTTTCTTTGAGCCTAGTTTCTTCATGGCATTATAATATTTCTTCTGCTCCTCCGTCATGAAAATATCTGTTCCTCCCATGTAAAGACAAAAGAAAAGGCGACAGTTAACTCACTGACAGACAGATACAGAATGATATTTACTATCACGGTTGAATCTGGACACAGCTTTCAGTGAGTGTAAACATATCTTGGCTTTCTGCTGGTTGAAGTTATCGATGATGACTCCAATGAAGAGGTTCAGGGTGAAGAAGGAGCCGAAGATGATGAAGCAGACAAAGTAAATGTACATGTACAGATTGGCTTCGTAGATCGGTTGGGACTCCACCTACACACACACACACACAGTTTGGTAACCATGGTAACCAGAGTCAATTATAGTCAATTATAAGTTTTACCTGTGCAACACAATATCACAGATTTGCTTCATACAAATTGTTGTACAAATTTGAGACGCAGCAAAGATCTTCACACAACAAACAACACTTTTAGTTTTGTTAGGATTGGCACAATACTTAAGGTTTAGATGAATCTAGGCACAGGTTTCAAGGGTACTTCACAGAAGTACTAGTACCAAAATTGTTTTATTTATTTATATACTGACATCTCTGGAGTCCACTGCTGCGTACATGATGTCCATCCAGCCTTTAAATGTGGCCTGAAAGAGACGAGACTCATTATAATCAGTTTCCATTTAGACAACTAAGTGTAATCTATATATGTATATAATATGATATGATATATAAAGAAAGACCAGTCATCTGCATACAGTGATACCCAGGAGGTTTAAAAATGTGTGGCCAGAAAAGGATGTCAGCTCAGATGAACTATTCTTGTGCTGAAGAAATATGCTAATATTTAACTGATTACTGTTTAATTGTAGCCATCAGTTGTGGGGGTTTAATAGATTCAGTTCTACAAACAGAGTTAGGTATGTTACGTTATCCTTTATTGATCCCCATAGGGTAATTTGTTCACTGCAATTAACCAACCAACAATTAATTAAAAATTGTTAAATATTATTATTTTGATGCTCTAACCTGTCATATCTCATAGTTTTAGTGTTTCATATATCAGACGTAATCACTTGTATGACATATGTTGAGTATTGAGACTCACCACTTGTAGCAGTGACAGGTAGCCCATCCCCACGTTGTCAAAGTTCACTTTAAGGTTCTTCCAGCGGATCTCAGTGAAGTTTGCCTCAATTAATGCCAAACACTCTGTCTTATTGTTGACGATTTCAGGGAGAAAAAACTCCTCAGACGTCTCATTAAAACAGTAATAAAACTTTCCTGCAAACAGATTCACTCCCATAATGCTGAAGATCAGCCAGAAGATCAGACACACCAACAGCACGTTAAAGATCGATGGGATCGCTCCAATCAGGGCGTTCACCACCACCTAAGGACAGACAGGCACAGAGAGACAGGTCAATACATTAAACCTAGCACTTAACTTTGCAAATAATACAGAAATGCCAGGTAAAAGAGGAATGAATAATTACTGAAGAAAAAAATGCAATAAAAAATATGTTTATCAGTATATATAATGGACTGAGCTTCTGGGTCAGAAATTTGAAGCCACCGCAGAAGTGTCTTAAAACCTGCATTCTCTCTAAAAGCCAGCAGGGAGCAGCTTCACTCTGAAAGTATTGAGTCTTATGGAGAAGTTGATTAATGAGCTCAGTAAACAGTTTCCAGATGAGTTTATGGTCTCAGTCTCTAGTTTCAGTCTTTTTCCATACAGCATGATTTAATTCAATTCAATTCAATTTTATTTGTATAGCGCCAATTCATAACAGAAGTTATCTCGGGACACTTTTCAAATAGAGCAGGTCTAGACCGAACTCTTTATAACATTATTTATAGAGACCCAACAGTACCACCATGAGCAAGCACTTGGCAAAAAGGGAAAGGAAAAACTGCCTAGGACAGATCCTTCGGCTCTAGGTGGGTGGTCGTCTATCTCGACCAGTTGGGGTGAGAGAGAGAGAGACACAGACAGAGAGAGAGAGAGAGAGAGAGAAAGAAAGAGAGAGAGAGACAGAGACAGAGAGAGACAGACAGGTGCACAGTAACAACAGTATTGGCAATGGCAATCTAGCAGGACCATGGCAGGAGGCTCCACCAGGATCGATAAGAACCTGCGAGACGAGAAAGCACAAGAACTCCAGGGAAGAAGTGAAGTTAGTAACAAGCATTAATGGAACATGAATGAGTGCAGAAAGAGAGAGGAAGAGAGGAGCTCAGTGCACCATGGGAAATCCCCCGATAGTCTAGGCCTATAGCAGCATAACTAAGGGATGGTTCAGGACTCACCTGATCCTGCCCTAACTATAAGCTTTATCAAAGAGGAACGTCTCAAGCCTACTCTTGAATGTGGTGAGGGTGTCTGCCTCCCGAACCACAACTGGAAGCTGGTTCCACAGGAGAGGAGCTTGGTAACTGAAGGCTCTGGCTCCAGTTCTACTTTTAGAGACTATAGGAACCACAAGTAGCCCAGCATTCAGAGAATGTAGTGTTCTAGAAGGGTAATAGGGTACTATGAGCTCTTTAAGATATGAAGGGGCCTGACCATGAAGAGCTTTATAGGTGGGGAGGAGAATTTTAAATTCTATTGTAAATTTTACAGGGAGCCAGTGTAGAGAAGCTAGTACAGGAGAGATGTGATCTCTTTTTCTAGTTCCTGTCAGTACTCGTGCTGCAGAGTTCTGAATTAATTCGAGCGTTTTAATGGACTTATTGGGGCAACCTGATAATAAAGAGTTGCAGTAATCCAGCCTTGAAGTAACAAATGCATGGATTAGTTTTTCTGCATCTGTCTGTAATAGGATGTGTCTAATTTTTGTAATATTACGTAAATGAAAGAAGGCAGTCCTGGAGGTTTGCTTTATGTGGGAATTAAATGACAAATCATGATCAAAGATAATTCCAAGATTCCAAGTAAATGATGGTCCCATTTAGAGTAAAATAGACCATTAAGCAGAGTATGCTTTAGGGCGGGGCTTCCTTGTGATTGACAGCTCATTCTTAGTGAGTCTGTCCAGCTCAACGCACCAAACTCAGATCAAACTGTCAAACTAGGCAGTGCTGATCAGATGTGAAGCAAGAGTCTTTACTAATTCTCTTAAAATCTGTTCACAAACATATTTTAGTGAACTGTAATATGAGATTGTGTGTGACCATGTGAGCTGCCATTGTTTCCTGCTACTGATGAGTCAAAACTGCCAGACAATGAGCATAAATCAACTTGCAGTACGTCACATCTGCTGGCTCGTGCTTGCTTCGTCTAACTGTCATGGCGGTGGCCAAAACACGGAATTTAAGTCTTCAAAACGGTTCTCTACGAATCAATGGGTGACGTCACGATAGGTTGACACTTGGTCTCAATCCAGGAACTACTAACAGATTCCTAGAATTGGATTTCAGGCTTCTATTGGGTTAGCAGGTCAGAGATCTAGACAGGACTGAAATACATGTCAAGTAATTAAAATATTTGAATCTGTTTTTAAATACAGACAACCAAGTTGGGGGATTGATCAGTATTGTGTTGTTGTTTGTTTCTTTTTTTTAAGTTATTTTTTTGGCCTTTTATTGCCTTTATTGGATAGTGACAGCTGAAGATCAACAGGAAAGGGGATGACACGCAGCAAAGGGCCACAGGTTGCATTCGAACCCGGGCCACTGCAGCCACTCCGTACATGGGTCACCAGCTCTACCAACTGGGATAACTGGGCACTCTGTGTTGTTGTTTCTTTATTGTCATGATATGTACCACAGTCCTTTAAAGTAGCTGTAATTAAACCCCTTCTTAAAAAGTCCACTCTTGACCCAGGGGTTTTAGCCAACTATAGACCGATTTCTAACCTCCCCTTCCTCTCTAAGATTCTGGAGAAAGTAGTCGCCAAGCAGTTGTGTGACTTTTTACATAGCAACAGCTTATTTGAGGATTTTCAGTCAGGATTTAGAGTTCATCATAGCACAGAGACAGCTCTGGTTAAAGTTAATAACGACATTCTGATTGCTTCTGACAATGGACTTGTCTCTGTACTTGTATTATTAGATCTTAGTGCTGCATTTGACACCATTGACCATAATATTCTTTTACAGAGACTTGAGCATCAAATTGGCATTAAAGGAACCGCACTAAGCTGGTTTAAGTCATACTTATCAGATCGTTCGCAGTTTGTACATGTTAGCGATGAAGCTTCAATAAATACTACAGTTAGTCATGGAGTTCCACAAGGTTCTGTACTTGGACCAATACTATTTACTTTATATATGCTCCCTTTAGGCAACATTATTAGGAATCACTCCATTAACTTTCACAGTTATGGAGATGATACGCAGTTATATCAATCGATTAAGCCTGATGAAATTAATCAATTATCTAAATTACAAACATGTCTTAAGGACATAAAATCCTGGATGAGCTGCAATTTTCTGATGTTAAACTAAACTAAAATTCTTGTACTTAGTTTCACAAAAACCTAGGAGACTCACTGTCTAAAGATATAGTTACTCTAGATGGTATTACCGTGGCCTCTAGCACCAGTGTCAGGAATCTTGGAGTTATCTTTAATCAGGACATGTCATTTAATTCCCACATAAAGCAAACCTCTAGGACTGCCTTCTTTCATTTACGTAATATTACAAAATTTAGACACATCCTGTCACAGATGGATGCAGAAAAAGTAATCCATGCATTTGTTACTTCTAGGCTGGATAACTGCAATTCCCCGGAGTTCTTGTGCTCTCTCGTCTTGCAGGTTCTCATGGATCCTGGTGGTGCCTCCTGCCATGGTCCTGCTTGACTGCAATTGCTAATATCACTGATACTATTGTTATTATTATTAATATTATTAATATTATTATTACTGCAGTTACTATTATTACTCATAATTGTCATTGTCCCCCACCGTTCATCATCAGTCACTACTATTAATGTAGTTGTTGCTACTGTTGTTGCTGTGCACCTGTCTGTCTGTCTGTGTCTCTCTCTCTCTCTCTCTCTGTCTCTCTCTCTCTCTTTCACCCCAACTGGTCGAGACAGACGACCACCCACCTAGAGCCGAACGGTCTGTCCTAGGTTTCTGCCTCTTAAAAGGCAGTTTTCCCTTACATCCACTGACTTGTGGCTTCTCTTTTTGGAAGAGAGGTCTTTTTCTCTCTGTGTTTCAGGTCTGCCCCTCTTTAAGGGCCTGTTCACCCACACCTGGAGTCACTCTGTGAACCCTCCAAATGCTGGAGGGTTTCTACATAAACCCTCTAGCTGCCCCAATTTTTGTGGTTTGTACTAGTTTTGTCATTTGGAACCAGAGTCTGCACAGGGTTGGCTCTGCGGAATTGTGATCCCACCCATGCGCCCGACCGATTCAATGGCGAACAGGACTCAGCTGTCAATCATGATGTGAAACCTGTTTTTATTTATTCACCCCTTTTTATTTATTAAAATAACTAATTAAAACTAAACACATATACTTAAACAAACATCAGCATGATAAGAATGACCTAAAATGACAGAAACCCACTACCTACTGTCTACTGCAGTCAGCCACCAGGAGGTGATAGAGAGAGAGAGTCTATACTGCAGTCAGCCACCAGGGGGAGATAGAGAGAAAGTCTATACTGCAGTCAGCCACCAGGGGGCGATAGAGAGAGTCTATACTGCAGTCAGCCACCAGGGGGAGATAGAGAGAGAGTCTATAGTGCAGTTAGTCACCAGAGGGAAATAGAGAGAGAGAGTCTAAACTGCAGTCAGCCACCAGGGGAAGACAGAGAGAGATTACCACAGCTGTCATATCATCCATCTTTATTTATGTTGATGGATGCAACTAACATGTCACATGCTAATGCTGTGTTAGTCACTCTGTAACTGTGTTGGTTAGTAACTTTTAAGAAGCACTATAGGGGTTCCCCGCTATTTATTTTGTATTCAGTTTCCTCCTGTGTAGTGGCTAGTTAGGAAGCTTAGAATTGTGTTTTTCTGTGTCAGTTGAACTTTTATCTTATAGTTTGGGAGACCTTGCCACCTTACATGTTTTTGTTATCCTTAAAAGTTTGGTTGGTTAATTATGGTTTGTAAATAACTATAATTTATTGTCATACTATAAAGTGTTTCAGGTTTCTTCTTGGTATTCGGGGCCCAAGGTTTACAAAGTTTTCAGTTTGTCCCTGGGCCATAGAACAGCTAGTACCTACTGGTACCTCAGGACCATCTGGACCGACAGGCTGTTTCTCACCCTCATGCCCTCAAAGCGAGACAGGGCCCTCAGTGGCCTCAGAGCTCTCAGAGTCCTCAGAGACTTGATGGCTCCCAGCTCAGAGTATCCAAGGATGTTTGCTGTCAGAGACACCAGAGACACCTGTAAGACACAGCACACCTGGTGATGACATCATATCACCTCAACGTTTTACAGTGTTTGTGTAATAAGTACTGTTACTATGGTTACACACTACCACAGGTATTCACGTTCTTACGTCTACAATGAGGAAGTCGAGCCAGCACCAGGCGTTGGTGAAGTAAGTCTTGAATCCATAGGCGACCCATTTAAGAATCATCTCTACTACAAACACGTACGTGAACACCTGGTCTGCATATTCCAGAACCGTCTTTATGACCTGACGCTGCTCCATGTAGATGTCCTCAAATGCCTGTTGACACACAGACTAATGTCACTGCAGGGGCCGAGGGATGTATTATAAAGCCAGTTTGTCTGTCTTTGCTGGCTCAGTAATAAATTAGAATAAAATAAATTATTCAAATATTTGTGTCTTGCATTTTCTCCATAATCTTACCAGGTTAAAAGAGAGCCACCTTGGTGACACTAAAAACTTGTACCACTCATACACTAACAATCTAATCTGAGTGAGTTAACGGTAACCTCACCTGTGTAAGGTGTGGTGGCCATGTTAGTAGCACATAATGTCATTTTTGTAGTCCACTGTTAGTCATGTTAGTAGCTCTGTGGTCAGTTTATCAGTGATCTGCTGACGGCCACGTTGTTGCCCCAGGTTATTACTCACACTGCACACATTCTTGAGAACCAATCAGATCTGAGCTACTCAGTCACATGATCAGATCAAATAGACCAATCAGCCTCCAGGAGGACTGAGCAGCACTCAGACTGTATTTAAACTACATATATATATATATATATATATATATATATATATATATATATATATATATACACACACATTATAGCATGCCCTTTAGGAAATTATTGAATGGATGGAATGAAAGTCTGAATATATTCAGACTTTCAATAATTTCCTAAAGGGCATGGTATATAAACGGCATTCCATATATATATATATATATATATATATATATATACATATACATATAAATAAAACAACATGCTTAACAGGAAGAAATAAAACCAGCAAACAAGAAAGCAAATACAAATGTATCAACAGTAAATCTGATCATGTATAATTCAATAATACATAATATTTTGGAATAATCTTCACCAGAGCTCCACTGCTCATCAGTATCATGAAAATGATGAAGGTCTCAAAGTAGTTATGTTCCACAATGGAGAAACAGGTTCTTCTGAAATTAGACCAGACCTTCCCTCTGCCCTGAGACGTGTCTATGTCCAGGAATGGACAGCGTTGGTAACACTCTGAAATATATGCACACAGACAGATTTTATTTGAAACAGTTGGTTACATGACAATATATACAGTACTCAAATATATACAGAGATCTTACTTAACAACTGAATCAGAAAAGTGAACATTCAATCCAGCACCTCAGAGTGGAGACTGAAAATTAAACATTTCAATTTCACATTAAAGCTGAAATGAACATTTATTCCTTTGTTCATAAATGTAACAAAATATTGTCTTGAGTTGGTGTTGGTATCCTGCTTTTTAGCTTCATGAATTGGATTTGAGTTTTTCAGTAGTTCAGTGTGTAGGGACTTGGCTTGGGAACCGGAGGGTCATGTGGATGAGTGTGCATTTCAGTATTTTATACACACAAAAAAAAAGTGAAAAGAAGAATTTCTCAATAGGGGATTAATAAAGTAAATCTTACTTACACTAACCTTAACCGCTAAACTCCCTAACCCTCTTAGAATATCTATCAATCGAATTAAACTAACCAACTGTCTAAATTACTAGCATGCCTTAAGGACATAAAAACCCAATGATTTTAAACCCAAAAATTGAGCACAGCGTTAGTCCACTCAAATCCAGCTACATCAGCTGATTGCAGCTGATCATAAACACATATCAGCTGATGGCTCAGCTGATTCCCTTCAAGCATCCAAATTGCCAAATGTCATTCAGGGTGCCTTATTTAAGTTGCTTTAGCCTGCCTACCTTGGCTGCTTTCTCTGCAAGCCACTTTGCAACCCAGCTCCACCCCTGCTCCTCCTTTTATGCTGTGTCTGATTTAATCAATGTTATTTCTTTTGTCCTTGATGCTTGCTTTGTTCTGTACCCCAGAGGGTCTTTGCTGCTGCTCTCCCTGTCTTACCATTTCCATGTATGCAGATGGAAGAACAGAGAGGTCCCAGAACAAAGCCATAGCGCCAAATATAACATTCTGCATTTGGAAATAAAGTTTTCTTTTGACAAAAGTGGTCCTGACTGAACTGAAACTTTTGTATCACTGTCAGGAATCTTGAAGTAATCTTTGATCGAGATATGTCCTCTTACTCTCACATACAGCAAACTTCTAGGAAAGCCTTTTTTTACTTACGTAACATTGCAAAAGTCAGGCATATTGGAGATTTTTAAACTGTAAAGGACAACACTGATTTAAACATGTACATACACAATACTTTCAAACATTGCACATGAACATACAGACACAGGCTTCTTGTCTTTTATTTGATTGTATAAAGTATATTTATTTTATTATATTCTTAAATATCTTGTTGAATTTTGTTATATTTTCTTTACTTTTTGCACTACCATCACCTGTGCTGTTGTGCCAACTAAGCACAAGAGTAGGCTTAGACATTTGTCTTTGATATAGCTTATAGTTAGGGGCTGGCTCAAGTGAGTCCTGAACCATCCCTTAGTTATGCTGCTATAAGCCTAGACTTCCCATGATGCACTGATCTCCTCTCTTCCTCTCCCTCTCCATCTATGGTCTTGTTATTGAACACAACCTGTTGGACTAGACCAGAGGAGCTTATACTGATTGAGATAGTGATAATGCATGGGTTTGTCCTATGGACTCTTCTCTAACATTAAGACTCCTGTCTTGAGGCAACTTTGAGGGGACACACTTCTGCAAATACAGAAACACAAACCCAGGACAGTCTGTTACACTATGACTGATTTATTTGTGTGTGTGTGTGTGTGTTCGTACTGTCAGTAAAGCAGTCCACAGGTGTGTTTGCATTTTGATCTTCATCCTCTTCGTCCTCCTGAACTTCAGGAAGTTTCTGCACAGTGCTGCAGACCGAGGACTGGTCACACTGAACAAGCACAGGAAATACATTTTAACCTCTCAACCTAAATGTTTGTATCACATAATGACAACACAAAATGATTTTATTCTCAAGAACCCATAATTCCAGTTTGTATCTTCCTGCTATACACAATCTGAATGAAACTGAAAATACCAATGAATTTTACACAAAAGCAGTTTTAAACAGCATTTGGAGCAACAGGCTCAGACACTAAGATAAAACTGGGTTTCTACTATCAGAATAAAACATATTTGTGTGTTGAGGAAAAAGATTGTCAACCATCATGTCTATGCCGGACTATAGAGATAATCTCTAATCTTATGCTGCTCCATTTTTAAACAGTTTGATGTAGTTCAGTGTTTTATTGCAATATATAAACTATGTTAACTATAAGTACATTGACCTACATTATATTCATTATGGTCTCCTGCATCAGTTTATCTCTTCTTACTACTTTCCACCTTATAACTGGATTTGTTCCAGAGGATTTTAAAACTTTAGTGTCTCATTGGTGGTCGATTTTAGACTTAACATTGATTCTATTTAATGTCTGATTTTGAGTTTTCTTTGTTTCGTTCTCTCTGTTGTACTCAATTAAGTAAATAAAATAAATAATATGTCACATCTTTATGAAACAACTAAATGAAGAAACTATGGAACAGAACAACTGTTTACCTGGGAGAGCTCTTCTTCCTCTTCCTCTTCCTCCTTTTCGTCATCATCGTCATCATCATTGTCAGGCGTCTCAAAGTCAGACTCTGCCTCTGCGATGGGGACCCTGAGGGAGGCAATGTTGTGGTAGTTGCTGGTCACGTTGTCATGGTTACAGCCAAGGGACTTAACCTCTGACATCGACTGGTCTGAGGTCACTAAGTTCAAAGCCAAAAACTCCTTTGTCATCCTGTTATCTTCTTCACTGTCGACTGCTACCAATGAAAATACATACAAAAACACATGGATAAATGGAAATGCTCATAAACACATAAATGGAAATGCTCATCAATAAATACAAATTCACATAAATAAATACAAATGCTCATAAATTCAGCCATAAAAGTTCATAAAGACATTACCCATCATAAGAAATCTATACACTGAATAAAAAAATCACAAGAAAAAAAACACAGCCCACCAGTTAAAGGTCTGGTCCTACTGGTGTGGTCTGGATTAATGTGGTCCTTCTTTCCTATTAAAGCCCAGATATGTTCCAGAATCCAGGTCTTTGTCCAGGCCACAGCCCTATTGATCCGGTTTATGGCGATCTGCAAGTTGTTTTCTCCTTCATCTTCTGGAGCTGCAAGATTATCACCGCTGAATGAGCTCAGTAACAGGGCCAGGAACAGATTTAGGACCTGAAACAAGACCAGGAACAGATTTTTTTTATTAAGTTTAGTCCTTAAATCAGATAAAGTAATTTTTGTAGGTGATTTTAATATTCATGTGGATGTTGAAAATGACCGCCTTAGTAACGCATTTATATCATTAATTGAATCATTGGCTTCTGTCAGAGTGTAAATAAACCAGCTCATTGTTTTAATCACACTCTTGACCTTGTTCTATCATATGGCATTGATATTGAACATTTAATAGTCTTCCCACATAATCCTTTTCCATCTGACCATAGTTTAATAACTTTTGAATTTCTATTATCAGATTATAAGCCACTAGGCAAAACTTTCTACAGCAAATGTCTATCTGACAGTGCTGTAGCTAAATTTAAGGAGGAGATTCCATCAGGACATGTCATTTAATTCCCACATAAAGCAGACCTCTTGGACTACCTTCTTTCATTTATGTAATATAACAAAAATTAGTCACATCCTATCACAGACAGATGCAGAAAAACTAATCCATGCATTTGTTACTTCAAGGCTGGATTACTTCAACTCTTTATATCAGGTTGCCCCAATAAGTCCATTAAAACGCTCCAATTAATTCAAAACGATGCAGCACGAGTACTGACAGGAACTAGAAAAAGAGATCACATCTCTCCTGTAGTAGCTTCTCTGCACTGGCTCCCTGTAACATTTAGAATAGAATTTAAAATCCTCCTCCTCACCTATAAAGCTCTTTATGGTCAGGCCCCTTCATATCTTAAAGAGCTCATAGTTCCCTATTACCCCTCTAGAACACTACGTTCTCTGAATGCTGGGCTACTTGTGGTTCCTATAGTCTCTAAAAGTAGAACAGGAGCCAGAGCCTTCAGTTACCAAGCTCCTCTCCTGTGGAACCAGCTTCCAGTTGTGGTTCGGGAGGCAGACACCATCTCTACATTTAAGAGTAGGCTTAAGACGTTCCTCTTTGATAAAGCTTATAGTTAGGGCTGGATCAGGTGAGTCCTGAACCATCCCTTAGTTATGCTGCTATAGGCCTAGACTATCGGGGGATTTCCCATGGTGCACTGAGCTCCTCTCTTCCTCTCTCTCTCTTTCTGCACTCATTCATGTCCCATTAATGCATGTTACTAACTTCACTTCTTCCCCGGAGTTCTTGTGCTCTCTCGTCTTGCAGGTTCTCATGGATCCTGGTGGTGCCTCCTGCCATGGTCCTGCTTGACTGCCATTGCTAATATCACTGATATTATTGTTATTATTGTTAATATTATTAATATTATTATTACTACAGTTACTATTGTTACTATTGTCACTGCTCATTGTCCCCCACCATTCCTGTTGTCGTCGTCATCATCTTCATGTTCATCATCAGTCACTACTATTAATGTAGTTGTTGCTACTGTTGTTGCTGTGCACCTGTCTGTCTGTCTGTCTGTCTCTCTCTGTCTCTCTCTCTCTCTTTCACCCCAACTGGTCAAGGCAGACGACCACCCACCTAGAGCCGAAGGGTCTGTCCTAGGTTTCTGCCTCTTAAAAGGCAGTTTTTCCTTGCCCCTGTCGCCAAGTGCTTGCTCATGGTGGTACTGTTGTGTAAATGTTATAAGGGGTTCAGTCTAGACCTGCTCTGTTTGAAAAGTGTCCTGAGAAAAGTTCTGTTATGAATTAGCGCTACACAAATAAAATTGAATTGAATTGAATTGAATTGAATCGAATTGAAGTGAAATTAAGACCAGGAACAGATTCAGGTAACGAAACCAGGTAGAGATTTAGGACTGTAAAGGACAAGAAAACACCTGTTCCCTGATTGATTTAGAAAAGATTTGTTCAGCCTCATTCAAACCAGAGCCCCAAACACTGGCCCCCACCTGGATTCTTAGTTCAGTGAAAATATTGAAACCAGATCAGGGACTCACCACCAGGTTTCCAATGACAAGCACCATCATGAAGACGATCAGACACATGGTCTGACCTGCAACCTCCATGCAGTCCCACATGGTCTCGATCCACTCCCCACACAGGACCCTGAAGATGATGAGGAAGGCATGGAAGAAGTCGTTCATGTGCCAGCGAGGAAGCTCGCAGTCCCCCGAGATGCGACAGACGCAGTCTTTGTAGCTTTTCCCAAAGAGCTGCATCCCGACCACGGCAAAGATAAAGACGATGATCGCCAAGACAAGAGTCAGGTTCCCCAGGGCACCCACAGAGTTCCCAATGATCTTTATCAACATGTTGAGGGTCGGCCATGACTTGGCCAGCTTAAACACCCGCATCTGAGACAGGTAGTCAGACAGGTGAGGAGACAGGTAGACAGACAGGTGAGGAGACAGGCAGACAGGAAACAGTAACGTTGATGATGTCGTTGCACTAACCAATCGGAATGAACGCAGCACAGACAAGCCCTGAACGTCAGCCAATCCCAGCTCCACCAGACTCATGGTGACAATGATGCTGTCAAAGATGTTCCAACCCACCTGTAACCATGGCGACAGAACACAGACATGTGTCACCATGGCAACAGCTGTCAACCATCATCACTGAGCTGGTAACAAAGAAACAGGACGTCTGACCTGGAAGTAGAAGTATGGGTCCATGGCCAGAAGTTTGAGGACCATTTCAGCTGTGAAGATCCCTGTGAAGACCTGAAAGGGGTCAGAAATCAAAGGTCATGGGTCAAGGATCAGGGATGAGCAGAAGGAACAAAGATCTTTGATTCTGGCAGCCCTTTTGGACAAAAGTGGTACTTTTTCTACCATCTCATTTAATTGATTTCAAGGTGAATCCGACAGAATTTGACTTTATTATTTATGGCATATATATATAATACATATTGTTTGGGGGTGTAATGATTTACCAAGGCTATAAAACTACATTGTTAATGTACTATGAACCTGTTGACCAACAGGACTTACAGTGCACCATCACATCTAAAATCTAATGTCTGGAACACATTTGGATCCTATGAAAAGAAAAAAAGTTGGAGTCTGTCTATCTGTAAAAACTTTTGGACAACGTTAGCACGACAGATCTTAACACTCACCTGGTGCAACGGCATGGTGACACCTATGCAGGGGATGAGGAGTCTGTCGATACTAACACAGCTAGCACAAGCAAGAACATAATAAAATAAAATATGTGTATTTAAAGGTAAAAAATGTAATTTGAATCGTATGGAACTGTATGGAATCAAATCGAATAGCACCCAGTCGTATTGTGACAGGTCCTGGCATTGACCTTTGATCTTTCAAGATCTTTAACTCCACAGTAGCACAAAAAAAGGATGAAATGTGGACTATTAAGCATCAGGTCTCTGTCCTCTAAAGCTGTTCTAGTGAATGAAATAATATCGGATTATTATTAACTTTTGAATTCATATTATAGATTATACACCATTAGGCAAAACTTCCTACAGCAGATGTCTATCTGACAGTGCTGGAGCTGAATTTAAGGAGGAGATTCCATCAGTGTTTAATTCAATGCCAGGTCTGAATATAACAGAGGACTCCTATAATAACTTTAGTCCCTCCTAAATTTTTTATTTTGTCAATAGCGCTGCAGACTCACTGCGGACAACACGTGGCTCTATTGCCCCTTTAAAAATGTTAAAATATGAAAACACAGGAGGCTAGCACTCTGGTATACCACAGTCACAGCTATATCGAGCTGTGTATCCCCACAATCCTTAGAGTTCATCACAGCACAGAGACAGCACTGGTTAAAGTAAATAACAACGAATTGCATCAGACAATGGACTTGTCTCTGTATTTGTATTGTTAGATCTTAGCTTCCAGTTTGGGTTTGGGAGTCTTATAGTAAGTGCAGGCTCAGGTGAGTCCTGAACCATCCCTTAGTTATCCTGCCTCCATCGCAAAGTGCTTGCTCATGGTGGGAACTGTTGGGTCTGTAAATAATGTTATGAGGAGTACGGTCTAGACCTGCTCTATTTAAAAAGTGTCCTGAGATAACTATTGTTATTGATGGTGCTATACAAATAAAATTGACCTGAATTGAATATATAGTGGAGAGGCTGTTAGCAGCAAAGCTTCAGTGAACAGATGCATCCAGGGGACAACACACGCATCTATAACGTTAAAATTGGTTTCTGCCTCGTATCAGTAAATCTTTACACCCCTATTATTTGAAGGTAAGCAATGTCACTTCTATAGAATTGGCTTATTTCCATTTAAAATGGAAAATAAACATCTACATTAAACAAATGTTGAGAACTGTACTAGATCACATCAATTCAATTTAGTTCAGTTGTATTTGTCAATTCATAACAAAAGTTATCTCAGGACACCTTTTCAGAGGAGGTCTAGACCGTATTCCATCATATCACAATGTTCCACTTGAAAATGTCCCTGTATCATATTGTAGCCCATGTATCTGGATACGTATCGGATTGTCTCAGAAGGGACAGATGGATACTTCTAATATTGTTTAGGTCATCAGTATTAAACCAATACCTTTTCATGAGGCTGATGGTAGAACAGACCAGCACAGTAAGGCATTATATTAATATTTTCTTCTTTCTACATAAAAGACCACATGGTCTTACCTGAGTAACTGATTACTTTTCCAAATAATTTAACAGCAATAAGCAAAGAATGTAATTTTAGAAATGTCTTAACTTACTGGAGTATTTAAAGGAGTATAATATTAATGTAATATTTAGTGATCACACTGTGGTGTTTATGTAGCAGATAATCTAATTAATCACATAATTGCACGTTCCCTTCTTTACCTGAGGATGATTACAGAGGTTATTTATAATTTTTTATTTTAACTAACATAAATACATTTGTACAACTTTTTATTGATTTTAAACATTAATAACACAGGAACTAAACACAAACATTGAATACACACAACACCGCTACCCATCCCTCCCCCCAGAACACACAGAACCCCCATCACTCCCCCCTTCCTCCCCTCCTCCCCCTCCCCACTGAACACACAGAACACCCCCACATCCCTCCCCCCTTCCTCACCTCCTACCCCTCCCCACGGGAAACACAGTCAAACCTCTTTACAGAATCAGAATCAAAACAATCAAATAAGACAATGTGATGTACAGGATGACAAACATACAGCGTAACACAGATGAACCTCAAAGGTCATGACAATTATGTTTTAACATCCTCTGCAGCTTTTTTCCACATCTGCAACGTTTGTGGCTTGGAACTATTAATGTGAGCTGATGACCACTCCAGGTAGATCACCTCGAGGAGAGCTTGTTTTATTGATAACTGATGTGGTGGACTGGTTCTAATTTTTTAATAGAAATGCTTTACTCACCAGATTTCCGATGCTTAGAAGTTCCGCAAACTCCTCTGTCATTGGATAATGCTCCATGGCCATAAAGACAGTGTTGAGGACGATGCAGATGGTGATCCCGAGATCAACGAATGGGTCCATGACAATGGTGTAGAGACATTGTTTGAGCCACCGCCAACAGCCACAACAGTTCCACTTCAGGAAGATATCAGTGAAGGGGTACCAACATGGAGGACATGGTCTCTGGTCGCCCTCAAAGTCTGAAACACACGCTGGTTTTCACTGAAAGATCGTCTCAGTCACTTGGGGGGAGGGGAGCTGGGGGGTTGTAATGTTAACCTCTGCTGCTCTCTGGTCAGTGGTTGCATCTGTATATCTGTATTAATGTATTGATAATACTAACAGTGTTTTTATTGGCTATGAGAAAGTGTGTGGTGGGATACATATCATGTTTATAAGATCTTAATCCTGTCTGTGTGTGTGTGTGTGTGTGTGTGTGTGTGTGAGTGTGAGTGAGTGTGTATACCTTCCATGGTAGTGTGTTCTTGCTCGTTGCTTTTTATTTCTGTGGATGAATTCTTCTCCTGTTGTGCTGAATTCTGTTTGTCTGAGAGCGCTCTGCATGCCACCTGCTATAATAACAACAAGAGTTCAGCTATGTGTGTTTAGGTCAGTGATTCCCAACCATTTTGCTTAAGGTAACCTTCTATCATTGCGTAAACCAATAAGCCCTGATGAAGGGACATATTGTATGAAGTTTATGTAAAACAAGTGATTTGGATACATTTTTTAGCAATTTAGTTTTTTCACAATTCTGTCTTTATTATGTTTTTTTCAACAATCATACACTCTAATAGGACTCTTTTGAGAAAATCTGTGTTTTCTTCTCCTTGTCACTTGGCCATTGCATTTGCTTTGATCTGCAGCTGTTTATCAGACAGTGAAAGCTCTGTAAATGTAGTTTGTGTTCAGCTCTTCAAAGTTTAGATCTAATAATCTAAACTTTAAAAATAACAATTTAATTTATTAATAGATAACGGCATCCTACTACTCCCTTAAAAAAAGAAAAGAATGTTTGCTGTGTCAAAACGAACCTCCTCCTCCCTCCTCTTCAGCGCCTCCAGAATCTGAGCATACTCCTCCTCCTTCTGTTTTGCCTCAGCGATGGTGGCCTCATTCTGCTCGGCATACGCCATGGCAACCACAGCCAGGATGAGATTAATGAGGTAGAACGAGCCAAGAAAGATGACGACCACAAAGAAGATCATGTAGGTTTTACCTGCTGCTCGCAGTGTCTGCAGACAGAAAGGTGAGACGCAGACTGACTTTTTTGACAACATGAATGAATCAAAGTGAAAAGCTGATGTATTCATGTACTTAAAGAACAACAAGAGCAAAGAGGTCCTCCACACTTATACATGTTTGTTGAACTTTAATCCTTTATAGGGCACTCATTGAAATACTTGGAAATTTAAAATTTCAACCCTGGAGTGTTATTGGTGGATATAAGAAGACATCTTTTCTGTTTTGATTTTTTTGAAAAAGTCAGTTTTAGTCTGAAAATCAGTCAGTGATATCTACGTGGGCTGGCACAACAACAATCTGTGGCACAGCAGGCCTCCTCTTCCCATAGAAGGACTGAGCAGACAGCTGCTGCAAAAGAAATATGCCACATCAATATACTATGAAAATATGTAATAAATAAGCCATAAGCAAATCAAGATTAAGCCCACTTTGAATTATTTGTGAAAGAAAGCCGTAACATTGAAGTGTATATTAGTATATCACCCATAAAAAAACTCCACCAAAATATGCCATAGAAGTGTAATTAAAACCGTCATAATGAAGTGACTATATATGGTTCCTCGCCCGATAAAGGGTTAAACTGAAATCTGACTGTTCTGTGATCAAGCTGCTGTTAATATTCACATTATTAAAACGTCAATATGCCCTCTACTGTTTTAAATCAATCTTGAGACTCACTAGGTTCAGAATCAGAGTGGACAGTTTGGGACGACTTTACGTCAGACATTTCTATAAAAACTGAGTTAACGCCCTCTAATCAGAGGAGAGCAGCCCACCTCCCCCAGCCTCCACTTTGAGTGAGTGTCTGTAAAACCATTTCAAATGGTTATCTACAACACAGGCGCTAGCTTATCTACAACACAGCCACTAGTTTATCTACAACACAGCCTCTAGTTTAGCTACAAACAGGTAGCACACTTTCACAAATAGTGTGAATGTGCTTCTAGTCACTGTAAAAGCTCCAGTGTTTCCAGTGCAGACACTGAGAGTCTGACAGCAGCTTCTCATGGCTGGTTAGTTCTGTTAGATCTGTTAGCTCAGACTACCAGCTCACTGTTCCTACGGCTGTGATCAGTCTGTCAATCACTGTGGTTGCGGTTGAGGTCACGTCCCCTAAAGTCACTGTTCTTTGCAGGTGCATTTTTTACAGCTAGAAGCTAGCAAAACTGAAGGGTGTACTACTTGCTTATTTTTAACTGATGAACATTAAACCTGCTGAAACACCAGTAAGAACCAGTCCTGTAGTGGGGACAGTAAGATACTGACCAGGTGGAAAAGGTTTTCCCAAAAGTCCTGGGTCATCAATCTGAACAGAGAGAGGAACGCCCAACCAAATGAGTCGTAGCTGGTGTAGCCGTAGTTTGGGTTTCTCCCAGCCTTCAGACAGAGGTAACCCTCTGGACAGACCCTGAACACATCATCATCATCATCATCATCAGTATTCTTGATGACATTGTCAGTATTATGATAATGAATTTATTAGAGAACATACCCAGCATCAGAGCTGTTTCCACACAGCAGAGCATCAAGCTGACCAGGTAGGTAGTAGTAGTTCTCTATCAGACAGACAGACAGAGTCAGAATTATAGAATCCCTAATTTTAATATTTGGAGGTCCATGATGTGTTGCCGTAGTATCAATACTGTTTCTACCTTGGTAGGGTTGTCAGTGATGTGTATCATCAGTTTTGTAGTGTTAAGAAACAGAAACAAAGTGTTCCACTAGATTTTTCACAATTTAAAATACAAAACTTTTTCACTTGTAGTTTAAAAGTACGATATAATATATATATATATATATATTATATCGTACATAGAAACAGTATATATAAACTACCATGAGGCTGTCAAACAACCATTACCATCTTCATCACACCTGGGTTGTTGATGTATTCGTAGAAATCAAAGTCACTGCTTCCTGTATTGTTGGCGTGCATGTCATTGCCATGGTAATCACGGTCTATATCAGACGTGTGGTTGCTAAGCAACAGAGGTGGCATTAAGACACATTTTTGCCGCAGGTTTCCCATGAAGAGCTGCAGACCGATCAGAGCGAAGACACTGAGGCAGAACACCGTCAGGATCATGACATCAGCCAGCTTCTTCACTGATTGGATAAGAGCTCCAACAATCGTCTTCAGACCTAGGGGGAATGGGGGGCGGGGATAAAGACTCACTGACCAATCATATAATAAATATGGAGTCATCCACATAGAAGCAGACAGTTTCTAAAATTAATTGAGAGTCTTTACAGAGCACAGATATGTTTGAGGATTGGACTGCTGGATGGCATTATGCCATTTCAGGGGTTAAATCCACCTTAAAATGAATCACACATACTGACCAGGGATGACTGTAATGGTCTTCAGAGCACGAAGAACTCTAAATGTCCTCAACACAGAAACATTTCCCAAATCTACAAACTCTGTCAGGTACCTAAAACACAGAGACAGACCGCCATCACCATCACCATCACCATCATTATCATCATCACAGATATAAAAAGTCTAAATCTAAGATGTTTTCACAGTTTCTGTCTGAATATTTAAAGGTTAAATTGTTGATGACTTAAAGCAGAACATTGGATTTTACAATGATTAGAGATAATAAAGTAGAAATGCCATGATTCAAAATGTAATTTTGTTACAATAGGTATATTATTGAGTCTTACGCCATGCTGATGACCATAAAGTCCAGCCAGTTCCAGGGGTCTTTGAGGAAGGTGAACTCTCCAACACAGAATCCTCTGGACATAACTTTGGTGGTTGCTTCAAATGTGTAGATGAATGTAAAGACGTATCTGTTCAGCAAAAGAAAAATATACTCAAAATGTAAAAGATGTCAATATTTTCACTTAAGATCACCTGGACTGATCCAGTGTTTACTATAAAGTCCTGTCAGTAGAGTTTGACCTGCTGATAAAGGAGGTGTCTTGCTGCTGTGGCTTTGTCTCTTTCTCCATCTCTCTTTTTTACTCCCTTATTTCTCTCCACTGGAGGTTTTTTGCAGGCTGTTGACACTCTTTGTCTGCATCTTGCATTTGGCACTGCAGCTACCAGAGGGTTATCTGTCTCCCCTTTATGTCTGTGTACTGTCCTCATCTTACAGCTGTGAAAAACTGTGAAAAACGTTACCTGAAAACTTGGGTAAACATGATTGATACAATGTATTTCTCTTTAAATTTTAAGACAATTTTGGACAAAAACTGGTGGAGTAAATCACAGCACAGAGAGAGCACTGGTGAACGTTACTAACGACCTTTTAATTGCTTGAGATAATGGACTTGTCTCTGTTTGACACCACTGACCATCATTGTCATGACTCCCGCTGTGTGATTGTGTGGTTTTGTTTTCTACCTCTTGGTGTGAGCGAGGTGTGCTTGTTTTGTCTGTCTGCTTGTTCCCTTCCCCCCTTGCCCCCTCCCATCCACATCCAGCTGCTTGTTCTCTTCCCCCCTTGCCCCCTCCCATCCACATCCAGCACACCTGCCTTCAATCAAGACATCTCTTTTCACTGTTATGCTGATGACACTCAGTTATACCTGCAAACCAACCCCAACCTATGCTCTACCCCGGTCCCTTCATCATCATCTGCTCCCTCATCATCATCTGCTCCCTCTTCACCATCATCTCTAGCCCTCTCCAACTGCCTGGAGGATATTAGGGCTTGGATGTGTCACAACTTCCTCCAGCTGAACAGCTCTAAAACTGAAGCCATACAAATTGGCACCCCTCATCGGGTCCAGTCATCACCCATAACCACCATCTTCTTTTCCGGTCAAGACACCCCCCTCTCAACCACAGTTACCAACCTTGGTGTGAAGCTGGGCCCACAACTGACCTTTGTAAACCACATCAAACATCTGTACAAAACCTGCTGTTTCCATATCAGGAACATTTCAAAACTCTGCCCCTTCCTCACTTTCTCTGACGCAGAAAATCTCGTCCAAGCTTTAATCTCCTCCAGGCTTGATTACTGTAACAGCCTGCTCGTCGGTATACCCAATAAACACCTTCAGAAACTTCAATTCATTCAGAACTGTGCTGCCCGAACTCCGATGAAAACCCGCAAATACGACCACATCACCCCTATTCTTCAGAACCTCCACTGGCTCCCCATAACCTCAACAATCCAATACAAAATCGCCCTCATAACCCACCTTTGCATCTACAGCAACGCCCCCAATACCTCAAAGACCTCCTTACCCCTCACTCATCCACCCGTAACCTCCGGTCCCAAAGCACAAACCTCCTCAATTAGCCACGCTCAAGACTCCGCACCATGGGAGACCGAGCCTTCTGCTCCACTGCCCCTCACATCTGGAACTCCCTCCCTGAACATCTGCGAGTCTGTGGACACTTAAAAAAGGGCTTAAAACTTTTTTGTTCAGGCAGGCGTTCTTAAGTTGTCCTTAGATTTTTCTAATTTCACTATGCACTTCAACTCCTCTTTTAGTTGTTTTTCTTAATGTATTTTATCACTTGTATTATTATTGGTTGCTGATTTTAATGTGTTATTGCCCTTAGTGTTTTTTTTTTTTTTTTTTTCTTGGTTTCTGTAGTACTTTGAGATTCTTTTATGAAAAGTGCTTTCATAAAATGTATTATGTATTATTATTATTATAATGTAAAATGTATTATTATTATTATTATATTATTATTTAAGACTGCACCACTCCCACCACTATAAGAAGCCTGGCTGACATCCAGTCCCTGCTGGTATCGTTGCACCACACACAGTATGTTGTGTGCCTCGCTTCAGGTCTTTTGAACCAGTTAGCCAGAATAGTTTTTTGATTGCCAGCCTACTTGCCAAATTCTTATAACGGTTTCCTCTGCCACCAGATTTGCCTGTCCGCCAGCTTTCCCCACCAGTTTTCATCTACCACCTTCACCCCTGGACTCAAACCCCAGAATTCAGTCAGCCTCCAGATTCACCCTTCATTTTACCAAAGAAATAAACACTTTGTGTTCACTACAACCAGTCTGAGTTTGCTTTTGGGTTCAGCCTCAGAATTGTGACAATCATATTCTATTACAGAGACTTGAGCATCTTATTGGCATTAAAGGAACCACACTAAATTAAGTTTTATAACGGTCGGTCGTTCCTATACCCCCTCATCCCTCAACCCTTACCCCTTCATCCCTTCATCCTCTCATCCCCTCTATCCCTTAACCATTTTTCCTCCCACAGTATTCCACATTCGTTCATAAAGTGTAATAAATCTTTCTTATTCCATACAGCTGTTGGCGTGGTCTTTGTTAGTGAAGCTGGTTTAAGACCTATTTATCAGATTGTTCTCAGTTTGTACACGTTAACGATGAATCCTCCATAAATACTAAAGTTAGTCATGGAGTTCAGCAACAAGAGGCCCCCCTCCCCAGTTGGTATAAGGGGGGAGAGGGTAGAAATGGTGAATACCTACAAGTTCCTGGGGGTGCAGTGAAACAATACAATGGACTGGACAGACCACACTAAAACTCTCTACAGGAAAGGACAGAGCAGGCTGTTCTTCCTAAGGAGGCTCAGGTCCTTCAACGTGTGCACTAGGCTATTACAGATGTTTGACCAGTCTGTGTCCTGTCTCACAAGGTCCTGTGGGCCATCAGCTACCAGACCACAAACAAAACAATTTACTTTAATCCAGACTGAGACCCCAGTCCAGTTGTGTGTATTAGTAAAATGTATAGTGTGTTGCTTGTGTGTGTGGACTCACTCCACAGTCTTGCTCCATGCTGGAGGATCACTCATCGTCATAAAAGCACAGTTGGTCAGAATCGTCACCATGATGAACAAACTGAATAAAGTTTTGGTTTTAAGGAACAAAAGACATCATCAGCTGATTAATGATCAATAGCCTGCCAATTAAAGTTTCTGCTCACTGATCAATCAACTGTGTGACATCATAAAGGATATGAATGAATGAGGATCTTGATGGCGACAGTCCTCAGTGGGTTGAATGGACTCAGCAGGTTACAGGATGGCTCAGCGTTAAACCTGTAGATGATGTTTCCTTTACCAAGCACAATGAATGTCTGCAGACAGGTCAGAGAGAGAGCGACTGGTTGTCTGAAACAGTACAATCATCACTGTGCATGCATTTATTAACTGTATGATTATAGATATGATATTATTGATCATTTCTAGAGATATTGATCTGTCTTCAGACCACAGGCACAAGAGATCTTATCAAAGAGAGAAACCTTTTGTGATTGGTAGAAGGGATCCAGCTCCTCCAGTGGGGTGTTGAGAAGCTTAGGGGGCGGGTCTCCGTAGATGAATGGGAGGGGTTTCCCAGCCTCTAGGTCACTAGCTGGTTTAGGAAGATTTTCCTCCGCTATCTGTTAATCAGAGAGATAGCCAATCAGAGACTTGTTCTTAATGTATTGATTACTTGTTATGGACAGCTGATAGCTCATCAATATACCTCAATGTTCTTCTCCTTCCTCCTTTGTTGCTCCTTCTCCTCGACTTCATGTCGTCGTTGGATCTCCTCCAGCGACGCTGGTGTGAAGCGTCTGAAGACCTCTGAACCAACAGGGGGCAGCAGAGGCGCCATCCTCGCATCATGCAGGGCCGCCCGAATTCCACCGTCACCTAATAGGTGCCTCCTGGGGGGGGTTATTTAAAATGTCAGACTTCATTCAAGATAACAGGACCATCAGGTCTGTCACATTATAGAAATTAAAACAAGCTAAAAGTCTTTCTTCTCTTCTTCTTCTGGGGTCAAGCAAACATCTTTTCACTGCTGCTAATAGTTCAGTTTCTTTAAAATGGTACGTGGACTGTACTTGTATAGCACCTTTCTAGTCTTCCGACCACACATTTCTCAACACTCGTACTGTAACAGTGAACCTACTGTCCCGGCAGCCAATATAAAGACATTTGTGATGAGCCAACCTCCACATAAAAAAACTAAAATGTAATTTACTTACTGATTTATGAAGAAATGTTTGAATCTGTATCATAAGAATATTTGTGCATTGCATTCACATTTAGCATTCATACAAGCAAGTTAATACTGTTGCTGAAAATTATGTAAAATTAGTGACAATTAACAATAATAAAAAAAAGATTTAATTTGTTTAATTTGTTGTGTAATTTTACATGAATGTGTTTGGTAACTGACAGATATCTTGTATAATTATGGAAGTTTTCACAACAGAAACATTAAATATTAAAATGTTGTTTATCATCGTATAAGCATTGGTAAACTGTCCAAATACAGTTTTCATCAGTGTAAACAGCAATAATTACCCTAACTTCACAGATAATGACTTTTATTACAGTTCTATAACTTTGAAAATTCTGATTTAAATAAGAGAAATCTAATCCTAACAGTACTCTTCAGTAAATGTAAGCCTGATTATTTGTATTATAGCAGAGTATGTCTGTATTTATAGGTAATTTCATTGTTTTTACAATGTAAATATCTTTATCATTAAAAAGAAAAACAATTACACAAAATGTTATGCAAAATTAAATCTTTATGTTGGTACCCCAGCTGCCAGAATATTACTCATTACTTTTTTTGTTGTTTTTTTACTCTGTATGCAAGCTGATCAAGAACTTCTCTGACATAAAATTTGTGTTGAAATAAACTTTTACATTAAAGTAAAAAGAAACTTCAGTGGACCAAGTTTTGATTCTTATATCCATCAAAGTGAAGACTGACTTACTGAATTACAGTTTTCCATATTAGAAACTTAATAGTTAGATCAGTCTGGAGCCTGCTATTTAAATAACATTATATATAAGTCTGGTTTAAAGCAGTTACAATCTGTTTCTATAATTAAAGTGTAGAATCAGACTTACAGCTGTGAAGGAAAAAGTCTTAGCTGGTTGGCTCTCCTCTGCAAAGCTCCACTTCCTTTGTTGTTTCTCCAAAACTCAAAAAAATTCATTTTTCTGCTTGTCATGGCTGCAGCCCTCTGTTCTCTATGTGTTCCCACCTGTCTCACCTGTCCTTGATACCTGTTTGTCTGTCACTTGTCTTTGTCTTTTCAATCTGTCTGTCTTTACTTTCTGTTACTCGCACTTGTGATTTCTTTCTGTTCTCATCTACAGACTTCTTTATTTATCTGCCAGCATTCCAATACTCATCATCATTTAAATGAGAACTTTTGTCTGATTTCTCTCCAAATAATAAACTCTTTATTTCACTGCCAACATTCATCTGTTCAACACACACACACACACACACACACACACACACACAGAGCTTGGAAAAAAAACATGAAATGATACAAAGAATTGTATTGTTTGATAAAAATGAACTTTTGTCTGTTTTCCGTTCATTTCTGAATAGCAAACTCCTCATACATACACACACACACACACACACACACACACACACACACACACACACACACACACACAGAGCTTGGGAAAAAAACATGAAATGATACAAAGAATTGTATTGTTTGATAAAAATGAACTTTTGTCTGATTTCCGTTCATTTCTGAATGGCAAACTCCTCATACATACACACACACACACACACACACACACACACACACACACACAGCTTGGATAAAAACATGAAATGATACAAAGAATTGTGTTGTTTGATAAAAATGAACTTTTGTCTGATTTCCGTTCATTTCTGAATGCAAACTCCTCATACACACACAGAAATACACAGTAATCTAGCAGGAATGTGCTTTCTTGTACATGTGACTAGTTAGACCAGATGCCAGATGACCTGCTGTTGCATTGAGTTGGTAAATGGTCCTGTACTTGTATAGCGCCTGTCTAGTCTTCCAACCACTCAAAGTGCTTTTACACTACGTGCCACATTCACCCTTTCACACACAACAGAAACATCATACACATTCAGGGTTCAGTATCTTGCTCAAGGATACTTTGACATGTGGCACCAGGAGCCAGGGATCGAACCCACAACCTTGCGATTAAGGAACGACCAGCTCTGCCTCTGAGCCACAGCCGCCCTGTTGAAAGTTTTTCAGAGCACTCTATATTTTAGACTCAGCACTGGGACTTATTACAATATGGTGTCTTCATGACTGCCGATTCAGGATTTTGTTTAGATTTTATCAATATATTTGAAATTTTTTTACTGTTAAATAGACTCCAGTGTGGGTTTGGCCTTAAAATCGTTTATCAAACAGAACATTTCTATTGGTGACCATGTTTCTCTCCTCTCCTTAGTAGAGGTCTTCAAGCTCGTTGGAATGGGCTGGTTCAGAGCCTTTTTTAAATAGACCGGGCTCGGGACGGAGTCAAGCTCATTTAACTTCTCTCGTTTCATTGTGCCCATATATCTACAGACACAAGGACGGACGCACAAGGGAATTCAATTCAATTTTAGATCAATTTTAGATTCCTGACAGGGGTGCTGGATGGCAGGCTAATACCTTCTAGAGTAACAATATCTTTACATAATAAGTTTCAAGTACAAGAACTTCAGTTTAACATCAGAAAATTGCAGCTCATCCAGGTTTTTATGTATTTAAAACATACTTGTAATTTATCTAATTGATTAATTTCATCAGGCTTGATCAATAGGGTATCTGGGTATCATCTGCATAACAATGAAAGTTAATGGAGTGATTCCTAATAATGCTGCTTTAAGGAATAGCAAATGGCAAATGGTAATTGGACTGTACTTGTAAAGTTTCTTTCTAGTCTTCTGACTACTCAAAGCAATTTAATACTACATTTCAATTCAATTCAATTCAATTTTATTTGTATAGCGCCAATTCATAACAGAAGTTATCTCAGGACACTTTTCAAATAGAGCAGGTCTAGACCGAACTCTTTAACATTAATTACAGAGACCCAACAGTACCACCATGAGCAAGCACTTGGCGACAAGGGCAAGGAAAAACTGCCTGTTAAAAGGCAGAAACCTAGGACAGATCCTCCGGCTCTAGGTGGGTGGTCGTCTGTCTCGACCAGTTGGGGTGAGAGAGAGAGAGAGAGAGAGAGAGAGAGAGAGAGAGACAGACAGGTGCACAGCAACAACAGTATTGGCAATGGCAGTCAAGCAGGACCATGGCAGGAGGCTCCACCAGGATCCATGAGAACCTGCGAGACGAGAAAGCACAAGAACTCCGGGGAAGAAGTGGAGTTAGTAACATGCATTAAAGGGACATGAATGAGTGCAGAAAGAGAGAGGAAGAGAGTAGCTCAGTGCACCATGGGAAATCCCCCGATAGTCTAGGCCTATAGCAGCATAACTAAGGGATGGTTCAGGACTCACCTGATCCAGCCCTAACTATAAGCTTTATCAAAGAGGAATGTCTTAAGCCTACTCTTGAAAGTGGTGAGGGTGTCTGCCTCCCGAACCACAACTGGAAGCTGGTTCCACAGGAGAGGAGCTTGGTAACTGAAGGCTCTGGCTCCTGTTCTACTTTTTAGAGACTATAGGAACCACAAGTAGCCCAGCATTCAGAGAACGTAGTGTTCTAGTGGGGTAATAGGGTACTATGAGCTCTTTAAGATATGAAGGGGCCTGACCATGAAGAGCTTTATAGGTGAGGAGGAGTATTTTAAATTCAATTCTACATTTTATAGGGAGCCAATGCAGAGTAGCTAGTACAGGAGAGATGTGATCTCTTTTTCTAGTTCCTGTCAGTACTCGTGCTGCAGCGTTCTGAATTAATTGGAGCGTTTTAATGGACTTATTGGGGCAACCTGATAATAAAGAGTTGCAGTAATCCAGCCTTGAAGTAACAAATGCATGGATTAGTTTTTCTGCATCTGTCTGTGATAGTATGTGTCTAATTTTTCTAATATTACGTAAATGAAAGAAGGCAGTCCTAGAGGTCTGCTTTATGTGGGAGTTAAATGACAAATCCTGATCAAAGATAACTCCAAGATTCCTGACAGTGGTGCTAGAGGCCAAGTTAATGCCATCTAGAGTGACTATATCTTTAGACAATGAGTCTCTAAGGTTTTTGGGGCCAAGAACAAGAATTTCGGTTTTTTCTGAGTTTAACATCAGAAAATTGCAGGTCATCCAGGATTTTATGTCCTTAAGACATGTTTGTAATTTAGATACATGTCACATTCACTTATTCACACACATTCACAGACTGATGACACAGTATAAGGAGCAATTTGGGGTTCAGTATCTTGCTCAAGAACACTTCAAGATGCAGCAGAAGGAGCCGAGATCATTGCTTCTGTTCAGTTTAATATTTGTGGGCATGATTATTGCTGGCACTGGTAGTTTGGTGTATGTGTGTGTTTCTGAGAGATAATGCGTGTCAGAGAGTTTAAAGTCACATTGGTTTCAGACTCTGCCTCAGGTCTTTGGCTCATTTGGGTCTCTATTCCTTTGGAGTGCCCCAAAGATACATTTTATTGTTTCTTCTTATTTTTATTATTATTAAGAATGTCACATGTACATAAACATGTGAAATTCATGTGACACACATATACAAGTAATTTTGCATGTGAAATATTTCTGTGGTGTAACATGTGAAGCACAGTTAAATTCCCATGTGAAACCTATGTGATTGTGTTGCAACATGTGGTAGCATCTTTCCGACATGTGATCATATGTGGGGAACATTCAAACAATTTGTGGGAAAATTTTGTTTTTCCTGTTGTTATTATTATTATAATTATTATTATAAGTAGT